GCTCTATTTTGCGAGACACCTACTTAATACGCTCCTCACAATCAGTAAATAGCAACATCGATGCCACTAATAAACCATTTTATGCGCCCCCTAGAGCAGGAGTTAACTTCTGGTATGAAAATGCCAGAACAGCCGCTCGTGATTTAGGAAACAGTAACTGTTATGTCTGTTCAAAGGGTAATCCAGATCAGGTAATAGTAGGATACCCCATATCCGGTTTCCCCCTCACTGAGGGACTAGAGAAAATCGGCGGAGATAATGCTCTCCTTAAAGACACTTTACAGTTGACTCTGAGCCCTCTCGACTGCTTACTTAGACACACACACACACCAACTAACCCTGAGACCCCATTAGGCGAATTATTGAAGTTATCTAATGACACCGCAGGGACCTGCGCCCCAATGAAACGCCCTAAGACTAGGTTAAAGCCCTCACTACCCCTAGGACAGATCCCTTTCCATTTTAATACTAGTATGATATGTCTGCGCAGACTAAAGTTAACTGGCCCAGACACCCACATAGATTATACAAAGGATAACTATACATTCTTCTCTGACTCCCCAGGTGCACGCTGTAATGAGACATGGCTAGCTGTCTCTGTGGCTGAAGTTTTATCATATCTGGAGGAACACACACACAGTTCAAGTTCGAGCGGAGAATCGGTCATTGTTCCCCCAGAAGGTGTATTAAATGATACTGACTGGGGGGAGTTAGTTAAATCACACATGGTCACGCGTCTTACTAGAGCAATCCCTAACGGTTATTGGTTGTGCAATAATACTCTTAGATTAGCTCTACCTGTTAATTGGACCGGTACCTGTGGTCTAGTAACTTTAGCCCAAGAACTACTAATACAACAAACCTCTGATCTGCCTGTATCCAGCAGACGTACAAAACGCTCCGCTTACTCACATAACGTTTACAGAGATGTTTGCTGTACTTTCATTCCCAATAATACCGCCCCTAACGGTTCATTCACACAAGCTATGAATAGACTTGAAGCATTGCAGATAGAACTAAGAGCCAATGCAGGTCACGGTCAGTGGCTAGACAAGTGGCTACAGGACACGTTTGGAAAATGGAAGGAACTAATTGTAGCCTTTGTAACCGTTGCAGCATGTATTATTTTGTTTTTGATGATTATTGTCTGTTGTGTGATACCATGTATACGCTCTCAGGATTTTTGATATTAAGCTCGCTTGAAGGACCAGTTACATTTATGATTTGTTTTATGTTTATGATTTGTCTTTAGATTATGTTATTACATTCTGTCTTTATACTATGTTATCATTTCATGATAAAAGGAGGGAACTGTTGTGATATTTTGATACCATGGTAGCATTTACAGGATATTGTTTTATAGTGATATTATACAGGAAAACTGTTACTCAATAAGGCCCATTTACTAGTTGTTTTTCTCTTTCTCTGTGACCCAAGAATTAATGTGTAAGAATCACAGGATGGTACCTCAAGGTCGAAAACACCACAGAGATCACTCCCTTACTCCCATCCTCCCTTCTTTATCTCCTAGAAAAGGCTCGTTAAAGGCCAGGTGGTTTGTTTCAGAATTCACTAATGAAAGAACTCTGTATTCTATGTCTAGGAGTGTATTTCGCTGGGATGATCATAAATTGTAGCTGAACTATACAAAGGATACTTCTTTGCTCAGAGGGCAGGAAGACGCTTCCTTATTTGGTCTGTACCGGTTTGAACTGAGAATCTGCTGACACACGAACCTTTTTCCTCTATATAAACTGTTGTACTTGTGAATAAAGTTGAGTCAGTTTGGAATGACAACCTAGGACAGTCTCCGCGTCTTCTTGTTCTTCCAAACTGCTCCCGGTACTCCGGCCGGTACCGTGATTAACCGTTGATCATGCATGAGAATATTTTAATTTTGTTATATGTTAAAGGATGAACTCTGCTTATTGGTGCCCACGCCTTAGGAGGAAACTCGATCTACGGATGACGGAGATTTCCTTCACCCATCCCTACTGTTCCTTGCTGAGGGACCAGACAAAGAGTGATTTAAAAAGAAATCCATAAAGGAGGCAAAACCATGGCGCCCCACGAGGCAGACATGTTTGCTTGCTCTGCTCTCGGATGCCGACTTGTTGTTTGTTGTTGTTTGCTTTTGTTCTTTTTGCACTAGATAAGTGTTGTGCACTGTTAACATAGCCGAGACAGACACTACTGGACTTCGGTAACTCACACAATCTTCTGGACTTTACCCTTCCACCGGAGTTTCAAGTCATTGTTCGCCCAGGTAGACACCAGGGACTGCAGACTCACTCTGTATACCAAGGAAACTGGACTGCAGATCCCCCAGATCACCCATGTGACTGGCTACAGGACTTTCCCAGTCCGACAGGATCGGCAACAGGACTTCAGCCAGCATTATTACAAACACTGGCATTCCACAGGGTTGCGTCCTCAGTCCTGTAGACCCACAACTGTGTCGCCTCCAATAGGGATAACACCATACTGAAGTTCGCGGACAACACTGCAGTGATTGGTCGCATCACTGGAGGGGACGAAGCGGCTTATAGGAGAGAGGTGGCCGGTCTGGTGTCATGGTGTGAAGACAACCTCAACCCTCAACACTCATAAGACAAAGAGATGATAGTGGACACGGGAAAGAAGAGGAGGGCTCACCAGCCGCTGTTTATCTGGGGGCGTTAAGTGGAGAGGGTGAGCAGCTTTAGATACCTAGGCATCTACATCACTGAGGACCTCACCTGGACACTGAACACCACACAGCTGGTCATGAAGGCTCAGCAGTGGCTGTATTTCCTGAGGAGGCTGAGGAAATTTGGTATGTCGGCCAAGATCCTCAGCACCTTCTACAGCTGCATTTCCGAGAGCACACTGACCAAGTTGCATCACTGCATAGTATGGCAGCACTACTGCTATGGACCGCAAACGCATGCAGAGAGTGATAACAACTGCGGAGAAGATCACCAGGACTGCGCTGCCCTCTCTGCAGAGCATCTACCATCGCAGAGTCCAGAGGAGAGCTGGCTCCATCCTCAAAGATCCCACACACCCCCAACACGGACTGTTCACACTTCTCCCATCGGGACGGTTTTAGAAGTGTGAAATCCAGAACATCCCGACTCAACAACGCCTTCTTCCCCACTGCTATCAGACTCAGAACAGCAAAGAAAGAATTTCATTGCACAGAGAAATGCTTTTCTTTGTACGAATGACAATAAACAATTTGAGTTGAATTGAATTGAAAATATTCAATCACCCTCCTTAAGTCAGATTTGTGGAGGGAACTTGACATAGACCATCCGGTGGCCGGAACTTAGCCTTAGCCTCCTGTATGCCTACCACCCACAGAAGGCACTGGGGGTGTCAGGTGCATTGTGTCATGGGTAAGGATCAAGGGCGGGGGCCCTGGCAAACCGATCTACAGCTATTGAGGTTGACTACTGGGACACGGAACTCCTCTCTTATAGGGAAGGACCCTGAGCAAGTGCGTGACGTTGAGAGATACCAACTAAATATAGTCAGGGTCACCTCAACATACGACTCTGACACTGGAACCATTCTCCTGATAAGTCACGGGACTCTGTTATAGTCTGGAGTTACCCTTGGTGACACGTAATGGGCAGGGGTAGGTATTCTTGTATGCTCTCGTTTTGCTGCTTGTACACTGGGGTTCGTGTCATTGGACAAGATGGCCATTTCCCTGTACCTTCGGGCTAGAGAACGGGTCCTGACTGTTGTATGTGCTTATGGGCCTAACGACAGTTCAGAGCACCCAGCCTTCTTGGAGTCATTGGGTGAGGGTGTTCTTGGTGCTTGTCATGGTGGTAATCTCCGAACCAGATGTTGGAAACTGGAGGTGAAGGGACCCATCAAAGCTGAAGAAGGAGTCCTATTGGACTTGGTTAGCCTGTGGGACTAAGCTGGGAAACAGCTGACGGGTACTAGAAGGCCAACTGGAATGCAGCCCGGGGTGGTAGCTGAAGCAAAAACTCAGGGGAGTTTGGTGAAGCCATGGAAAAAAACTTTTGGTCTGTCTCAGAGCAATTCTGGTAAACTATTCGGCAACTCAGGGAGGGAAAGTGGTGCTCTACTCACTGATCTCAAGTGGGAATACAGTTAGGTGGTGAAAGGAATACTTTGAGGACCTCCTCAATCCCACTGACACCTCTTCCATAGAGGAAGCAGTCTGTGAATGAGAGGGACAACTCGCCCCTCACTAGGGACAAGGTCACTGAGGCAGTTAACCAGTTCCTTTGGTGGCCAGGTCCCTGGGGTGGATGAGGTTCGCCCTGAGTTCCAAAAGGCTCTGGATGTTTTAAGGTTGTCCTGGTTGACATGTCCGGACTATATCGCATGGAGATCTGGAGTGGTACCTGTCTGGGTTGTTGCTACAAAGCTTTTCAATCCTTATGTGACTACTGCAGGAGCTTGGTCCAATTTGCTGGCAATAAGTCGGACTCGCTTTCAATGTGTTTTGGACTCCCCTAGAACTGCACTTTTCCAGAGATTTGGTTCATAGTTTTTATGGACAGATTTTTTTAGAAGTAGTAGAAGTAGTAGTAGAAGCCTCCCACCATGTGGTGGGAGGCTTCTACTTTGGAGGCCTCAGAATCTCATCACTGAATTTTGCAAATGATGTGGCTGTGTTCATCAGGTGGCGGCCTCCAGTGCACAGATGTGCCAGGAATGGGGATCAACAAGTCCAAATTTGAGGCCATGGTCCTCAGCCGGAAAAGGGTGTAGTGATCATTCCAGGTCCGGGATGACTTGCTGGCACAAGTTGATGAGTTTGGGTATCTCAGTGTCTTGGTTATGAAAGAAGGGAGTAAGAAACAAGAGATTGACAAACTGTGGCACCAGTGTCCTTGATTGGACTGCTGCCCCTGCCCGGATAAGCCGAAGTAAGTGAAATAAAACCAAACTACAGTCTAAAGTAAAAGGTCATATGAGTCAAAATAATCAGATTAAGTAGTTGGAAATTAATTTACTTGATATTGACCAACCTGGAAGAGGCGTGTGAAGATGTCAAACTCGAACACAGAAATGTAGTCATTGCAGGTGAGGTCAATGGTGGATTTGAGAGCCATAGCCTCCAGACCGCTGCTGATGGGATGTATGTCATGAAGGCACTGACGGAAGACTTTCCATGGCACTATTGTCCTGCAAAAGAACCAAGTCGTAAAAGTCACATACAGGATTGTGAGATATAAGTTAGATATCCAGACATGCATCTTTACTGATATAAATGTGCAAATTACCAAATGTATGTGGTGACTGTGATTAGCCACAGTGGGCCTTTAGACGCTGGGCTTGCAGTCAAATCAGCAAAGTTACTTAAACACAACAGTATCTTATACCCTGACATAGTTTAAAACCTAATATTCAGCAATTAAAAAAATTGATTCAAATGTTCCCAAGATGCCAAATGCATTAACTACACTGTTACAAAAAATAGTAATGTCAAAGTATCTTACTGTATATTTTACAGTTTTGTACTGTCTTTCTAGAATATCATTACATTTACATAAGTAGACTGTGATTTTACATGTCAAAGGTAAAATAACATAACATCACTGTAAATATAGTAAAACACAATTTACTTGTTTTTTAAATATATTTTCTGTACATATTTAGATTGTAAAACTACATTCAGAAATGTATCATAATTTCACAAATATTTGTCTGTTATGTGAGAGAATGATCTGTGAAATTCAAATGTAAAACTATGGAAAAATATATAAAATGATCGAACAGTAATGAGAATAATCAATAATTAAAGGAGTATTTGATTTATAATTTTGCTGAAAATTCCATGTCATCTGGGTCTGATTCAATAATTCAGAACAAGTGAAAATATAATTAATAGGAATAAAAACTAAAAAAAAACATATAAAACATTGCACGGCCAACGCTGTGCTAATTATATATTTTAAAAAATAAATGTAGAGGTAGGAATTGCAATTAATATAAATCTCAAAGTATTCACAACATTCCTAAACAGAAATAGGCCTCTGCACCTGGGGTGAGGGTGTGGCCATGAAAACAACGTGACATGCCATTGGATGTTGGGACACATAATAACATGACGCTAAGCATCGGCCAATGAATGTGAACTAACAACCACAAGATCGCGGGTATGGCTGTACTGTAGGAAAAAATCCTAATATAAAAGTATTTTAGTGTGCAGTTTACAGTTTACAGTTTTGTTCTGTTCTTCTAGAATATCATTAAAGTTATGTAAATAGACTGTGATTTCACATTTCAAATGTACATTAACGTTAAATCACTGTAATGCAATAAAACATAATTTTCATGACTATTAAATGTATCTGTCTGTACATATGCATATTTAGATTGTTAAAATACATTCACAAATGTATCATGATTTCACAAATATCTGTCCGTTATTTGAAAGATTGAACTGTTGAATTCAAATGTAATGCTATGGAAAAGTATATAACATGATTCCTATAAGCTTGTGTTACATCACATAAGTTTTATTATCATTGCTATTTAGGGCGATCGTGGCTCAAGAGTTGGCAGTTTGCCTTGTGATCAGAAGGTTGCCGGTTTGAGCCCCGGCTCGGACACTCTCGGTATTGTGTCCGTGGTCAAGACTCTTCACCTACCGCCTACTGGTGATAGCCAGAGGGGCCGATTGTGCGATATGGCAGCCTCGCCTCTGACAGTCTGTCCCAGGGCATGCAATCCATTATTATTTAAACTAACTGTTAACTGTATATTTCTGTACATTTACATATTATGATTCATATTGCCACATTCATTGACCTTGTTTATAGGTAATTCCATTGTTTGATCACGTTAAAATGTTCCTAATTTAATGTCTAAAAGCACTTGGAAAAGGCAGAATCCCATGTAAAATTAGCGCAACAAACTCTATTTTCATTACTGAAAATAACTGTATTTTCATGAGAAAGTTATTTTCTGTTATTTTACAGTAGTATTTTGGCGCCCCAGCTGCCAGAATACTACCGTTTTTTTAGGATTTATTTTTTTTCCTATTTATAGATAATTTCATTGTTTAATCACATTAACATGTTCCTAATTTAATGTTTAAAACCACTTGAAAAGGCAAGATCCCATGTGAAATTAGCGCAACAAACTGTATTGTCATTACTGGAAATAACCGTATTTTTATGAGGAAGTTATTTTCTGTTATTTTACGGTAGTATTTTGGAACCCCAGCTGCTGGAATATTACCATTTTTTTAAGATTTTTTTTAACAGTGTAAATTACAAAAAGGAAAATACACAGAGGCAGTAAATATTAAACATTAAGCATTCTGGAACAAACAACATGTTTATGAACATAAGTGAGGATAAGACTGTGAGCAATATGCAACATCTTTTACCCAGCAACTGGTAAACCTAAACAATGAGGTAGCCTAAAATTTCAACAACACAGTAAAGATAACACAAACATTGCATGAACCAAATACTTTCTATGCCTAAATATCCTTTAGCAGCATACTAACACCAAGTTGCTCTCCGATGCATCCATCGGCGTGTGAATGTTGAGATAGAAAGCGCATAGATAATGGATGATGGTGTGAATGGAGCATTTTACACTGAACAAAAATATAAACGCAACACTTTTGTTTTTGCTCCCATTCCCCATGGGATGGACGTAGAGACCTAAAATTCATTCCAGATACACAATGTAACCATCCCTCCCAAACAGTGGTCACAAATCAGTCCAAATGTGTGGTAGTGGGCACATCTGCTATATTGAGATAATCCATCCCACCTCACAGGTGTGCCACATCAGGATGCTGATCTGACATCATGAGTAGTGCACAGGTGTACCTCAGACTGCCCACAACAAAAGGCCACCCTGGAATGTGCAGTTTTGTCTCACAGCAAAATGCCACAGATGCCACAAGCAATGAGGGAGCGTGCAATTGGCATGCTGACAGCAGGAATGTCAACCAGATCTGTCGCCCGTGCATTGAATGTTCATTTCTCAACCATAAGCCGTCTCCACAGGCGTTTCAGAGAATATGGCAGCACATCCAACCGGCCTCACAACCGCAGACCTCGTGTAACCACACCAGCCCAGGACCTTCACATCCAGCAGGTTCACCTCCAAGATCGTCTGAGACCAGCCACCCAGACAGCTGCTGGAACAATTGGTTTGCACAACCAAACAATTTCTGCACAAACTGTCAGAAACCGTCTCAGGGACGCTCAACTGCATGCCCGTCGTCCTCATCGGAGTCTTGACCTGACTCCAGCTCGTCGCCGTAACAGACTTGTGTGGGCAAATGCTCACATTCGATGGCATCTGGCACGTTGGAGAGGTGTGCGCTTCACGGATGAATCATGGTTCACATTGTTCAGGGCAGATGGCAGCTGAGAATGTCCCAGTTCTTGCATGGCCAGCATACTCACCGGACATGTCACCCATTGAGCATGTTCGGGATGTGCTTGACCGGCGTATACGACAGCGTGTACCAGTTCCCACGAATATCCAACAACCTCGCACAGCCATTGAAGTGGAGTGGACCAACATTCCACAGGCCACAATTGACAATCTGATAGACTCCATGCGACGATGTGTTGCACTGCATGAGGCAAATGGTGGTCACACCAGATACTGACCGGTTCTGGGTCCCCAGACCCCCAATAGCGCAAAAAACTGCACATTCCAGGGTGGCCTTTTGTTGTGGGCAGTCTGAGGTACACCTGTGCACTACTCATGATGTCAGATCAGCATCCTGATGTGGCACACCTGTGAGGTGGGATGGATTATCTCAATATAGCAGATGTGCCCACTACCACACATTTGGACTGATTTGTGACCACTGTTTGGGAGGGATGGTTATATTGTGTATCTGGAATGAATTTTAGGTCTCTACGTCCATCCCATGGGGAATGGGAGCAAAAACAAAAGTGTTGCGTTTATATTTTTGTTCAGTGTATATAAAGCACCACTGGTGCTCAGGTAGAGTACAAAAGTGCTATATAAGGTAACAACCAGTAGATTTATTGACCTCTCAGGCAGAATGTTTACTGCACTGACAAGATGATGAATGCAACTCAACAGCAAAAATAGAAATATTAAAGTAAAACTTCTTTCAAGTGAAATTAAGAATAAATGTGCATGGGTGTGTAACTAATCAGCTGTTTGGGCTGTGTTTTATAGGGGGCTCTCTGGCAATGTGTATAAAAAATGAAGCAAACTTGGGACATTAGACGGACCCCAAAAGACCCCAAAAAATGCAATCTATATTACTATGTGAATTCCATAGATTTGAGTTTATATTCAGTTTTGTTGGTACTACTGAAGCCTTCAATTTGTTGAAAGGAGGAGAGTCCATATGCTCTCACAGTTACCACAAGATAAAAGAAGACTGATATCCTTATGTCCGAGTTTTCATGAACACAGCTCTGCGCTGAAAAACGTTTCTGAATGAAAACAATGTGGACGAAATGTTTTGCACTGTCAAAAGCACCGGCGGTAGCATCCAAAAGGCAGAGGAAGATGCTAATCATCGCACAAAAAGTTGGACTTCTGGACATGCTAAAGGAAGGTAGAAGTTACCGTATTTTTCGGACCATAAGGCGCATTAACCGACACAAAACAGTCAGATAAGTCAAACTTCACTCAACTCATTCTTCTTGGTTCCTCTACTTCCGTACCATTGATTCATTAATGTTGAATTCTCTCGCAGCTACTCTATTCCCATGTTGTGGACCTGAAAACAGGGTTTGATCTTTGGTTTCATTCTATAATACTGGACTTATTTTTCTACGAAGGTTTGAACTTTCAGAGCGTTTAAACAAGAGAGAAAAGTGTAAAAATGTTCATGCTTGTCTGAGAAAAGTGTATAAAGTGTGTAGTGAGGGGCTTTACAGCCTGAAAACATCTATAATAATTGTAAATAATAAAGCTGGCTATTTTGTGGATTTCACCTATCATGGGTTATTTTTAGAACATAGCTCCCACGATAAATGAGGGAACACTGTAATGTAAAAATCTAAAATCTAAAAAATGTTTGTGATTAATTCTTATTAAAGGACAAAACATCTCAATGGCATTCACTAATAAGGTTCAGGAAATACAAAGACAATGATATATTTTATAACAGTGTTCTGTAAATAGCAGTCATTTCTGGAGCTGTTCATGGCCACAGTTGA